ATCCGCAGAAAGGCTCTGGGGGGGGGCGTGTCAGGGGTTGGCTAGAACTAATAGTGAATTCTTTTGCCAGCCCTGTCTCCTCAGGCAGGAACTCGCAAGGGGGCTGGGCCATCCCAGGGATGTGACCTTAGGCTGCTCGAATCCATGTTAGAGTTTGCTCCAGTCTCTTGAGTGCAGGGATGTGGATAGAGTTGAGTCCTTTCTGGTCCTCAGCAATCAATGGATCAGAGCCCATCCTCCTCCAGGGTGATGCTGGTGTCACAGTATGGATCAGAGCCACTGCCCAAGCCCTATTTCCAGGTGATGAGTTGGACAGTGATGGGTATTGGCGGGGACATGGCTTTATGTTGCTGGTGGCAGCATCACTTGGTGCCACAACTTTGGAAAACTATTTGGCATTTTCTCTTCAAGCTGAAAATCCAGGTCACCACCAACTCATCAGTCTAAGAGGACTCTTGTGCACTGACAGTGCGAGCCGGTGAGGGCGGCAGATGCTGCCCGCAGCAGGAGCTGGGGCGCACCCGAATGCGCATCCCTGCAGAGCCTGGTGCAGCCAGAGTGTGGAATTTTTTGGAACAGCTTTACTGAGATAAAGCTCACATGCCATAAAATTCACCCTCTTAAAGTGTAGAATTCAGTACTTTTTTGTATAGTTATAGAGTTGTACAACCATTATCCCTCTCTAGTTCTGAAACATTTTCATCACCCCTAGAAGAATGCCCATTCCCATCAGCAATCCTCTCTGGTCCCATGCCTCCCGTGGCCCCTGCTAATCTGGTTTCTGTCTCTGCCTTCACCTGCTCGAGGCGTCGCGTTGCGTGGAGTTACGCAGTGTCTCTAACCCTTCCTTCACTCACCGTGTTTTTGAGGTTCATCCATGTTGTAGCCTGTGCGAGTCCCTGGCTCCTTCTTATGGTCTAACGTTATTCCCGTGGATGGAGGGACCACATTTTCTTTACCCCGTCATCATTTACTGGACAGCTGGGTTGTTTCCACTCTTTGGCTGTCAGGAGTAACACTGCTATGAGCATTCCTGTGTGGATGTGTGTTTTCATTTATTTTGGCTGCATACCCAGGAGTTACCCCATTGTTTTGAAGCACATTCCAGACATCACCTCATTTCCTTCATGAATATTCCCTTGTGCATCTCTAAGAAATGCCTCCGAAAGGAGCATGACCACTGCACCACCATCCCACCTACACTCGTTAGCGACGGCTGCTTAGTGTCATCAGGTAGCGTCTAGCATACATTTTGACAGGATTCCTGCATGAATTAGGTGTGAGCTGTGAGAGACAGGACTCGAGAAGGACTCCACGGTTTTGTCTAGAGAACTAGGTATCCGAGTGGAGATGTTGCCCCACATGCCAGGGATGCTGGCCTCCTCCAGAAGCCAGGCCAGGAGCCCAGGATGGACTCTTCCCCGAGAGCCTCTGGGACAAGCCAACCCTGCCCACCCTTGATCTTGGACCTCTGGCCTCCTCAACTGGGAGACGGCACATTTCTGTTGTCTTAAGCCCTGGCTCTGACAGCCACAGGAATGAAACGGGGAGCCTGGGTGGGTGCGGTGGTGGGTTGAAGTGGGTGCATTAGCTGACAGGGCCTGCTGACAGGCGTTGGCGTAGAGGTGGGGCAGGCAGTTGGATAGCTGCATTGGGGTTCAGGAGAGGAACCTGTCCTGGAGGTGCAAATTTGGAAGGTAGCAGCCTGTAGAGGGTATTGGAAGCCTTGAGAGAACAGATCAGATCACCCTCATGTGCATGGACATGGAGAAGAGGTGTGGTCCTGAGACTGGACTTGAAAAGGAGAGGGCAGGAGTGGTGGGTGGGGAGGTGTGTTGTGCGCGTGCCCGTGTGCGTGAACCCAGGGTGGGGACGAGGAGGGCAGGGGGTGGTCACTACCTAGGGGTTCCTCCGGAGGGGCCGGGGATGCGGGGACTGAGGCTTGACCCTGGGCTTGAACTGCCTGAGGTCTCAGGGGACCTGGGTCTGGACAGTTTGATGAGGGAGTCTGGGCGATGTAGAGTTTGGATTCTGTTGCCAGTTGAGGTCTTTTGGAAACAGTGTCAGTCCATCTTACCTTCTAGTGGCATAGGGCATTGGAACACGTGTCTTTGTGGCCGTGTTTGAGTCTTACCTCCCTTGATGCCAAGTCTCAGAGAGGCAGGGAGATTCCTTCTGGGCTCGGTCCTTGGAGACTTGGGGCATCTCTGTGCACTTGTGTCCCTGGGTCTCTAGTGGCCTCATCTGCAGGGGTGAGGAGGGGCTTGGGACTGTGGGCTCCTGGGACTTGGTCCCTCTCTGCTGCCTCAGTTGCCTTGCCGCGATGGAGAAGCTTCCACAGGTGAGATGTGAGGGAAGTGGGGGCACCGAGGACAGGAGAGAAGCCTCAGGGTGACGCGTCCCAGTGCTTCCAGGTGGCTCTGGGGCTTGGGGCCGCCCGGGGTGGGTGGCAAGCGGGAAAGCCCTGCTGACAGAAGGCGGCCTTCTCCCCTGCAGCAGATGGCCGAGGACAAGGCCTCGGTGAAGGCGCAGGTGACGTCCCTGCTGGGGGAGCTCCAGGAGAGCCAGAGTCGCCTGGAGGCTGCTGCCAAGGAGCGGCAGGCTCTGGAGAGCAGGTGAGTGGGGAGGGAAGGCCTGAGGAGAATGAGACAGTTGAGGGGCCTCCAGAGAGTTCCTCTGGGACAGAACGGACTGGAGTGCACAGGGCCGTTGGAGTAGGTGAGTTGTGGGGCTGGGGACTGGGGGTTTGGGACCTGGGTCCCAGCGGCACTTCTGGGCTCTGTGACCTTTTGCTGGAATTGGGATGATTCCCTTAGGGAGCATCTTCTTGGGGTGGGGGGAAGAGCACCCCTGTGATCCACAGGGAAGTGTGCTCAGTGCTCCCACAGCTGAGGTTTGTCACAGCAAAGGGCACATGCCAGGACGCCCGAGGACAGAGGACATGGGTCTGGGGTGGAGCCCCATGCTTTGGCTCCCTGTCTCCCTCCGTTGAGGGACCCCCTGAGCACTCTCCCTTCTCCAGCAGCGGCAGATGCATCCCTTGGCCTCCAAGGGAACCCAGAGACTGGGCGCCCCGGGTTTCATTGAGGGCCGATCACGACCAGGCATGCGCTCTGTTGTGTGACTGGTCCAGGCCCAGGGACCGTCCTGATCAGTCGGGAACATGTCATGTCAGCATAGGGGACTCGCACCAGCCTGCAGCCTGGGCGCCACCATGAGGCCAACTTCACCAGCCAGCCCTTCCCAAGCTGCCAGCCTTGGGCCTGCCGCTAGCTCTCTTCTGCAAGGTGGCTTCCCC